TTTAATGTCAGTGTGATATATAAGTGGATAAAGTGCAGAATCTCAGCTCTCTGAAAAATATGCATAGAAAAAGGTATGCTCTGAGCACAGCCTTATAAACCAAGGTCATGGGTTTGGATCCCCATACATGCCAGCTGCTAAAAAAAAAAAAAAGTAAAATGTTCTAAGTGTGTATTCAAAATTCTCTTCAGTATTTCTGTTGAAACCAGCAAACAGTGGCTTGTTCTCTTGTGCACTTGGTGTGGAAGCAGTGGATGAGATCTGAGGACTGCCTGGTGGATCTGGTGTCTGAAGATCCACCTGTACTGGGGGTGGGGGTACCAAGGAAAAGCTACAGAAGGTCTCTCTCTGTGCCTCGGTTTCCTCACCAAGCAACTAGGGATGTTAATGCCTGCTTTCATGGGCTTGCTGTGAGGATGAACTGAGATGTAAAGCACATAAAATACAGGGCTGGCCGGTGGCTCACTTGGGAGAGTGTGGTGCTGATAACACCAAGGCCACGGGTTCAGATCCCTATATAGAGAGGGCCGGCTAGCTCACATGGGAGAGCGTGGTGCTGACTTACCAGTTAAGATCCCCTTACTGGTCGTCTTTCAAAAAAAAAAAAAAAAAAGCACATAAAATACAGGGCTGGCCGGTGGCTCACTTGGGAGAGTGTGGTGCTGATAACACCAAGGCCACGGGTTCAGATCCCTATATAGAGATGGCCGGCTAGCTCACATGGGAGAGCGTGGTGCTGACTTACCAGTTAAGATCCCCTTACTGGTCATCTTTCAAAAAAAAAAAAAAAAAGCACATAAAATACTGTGCACAGTGCCTGGCACATCCGAGTACCTGAGATTATTAGTGGCCTCACTTTAAAACCGGCATCACTAACCTCAAGCCATCCTCATGATGCCCAGCAATCACATATGATTCTCTAAGAGCCTGCTCAAGGCCTCATTCTCCCGGGTGACTTCCATCCTTTCCTCTCCTCTCCTCGAACCCCAGCACCTGCTCTGCTAGCCTCAGTCTCAGCTCTCCCCTGCATGGTTTTCCTTCCTCTCTGGATCGTTCCCATCAGCTTACAAACAGGCTCTTACTTGCCCCCACCTTAAACAAACAGGCAAGTGAGCAAAGCTGTTCCTCCTGTCTCCGCGTGGCTAACTCTCTGACCTCCCTCCAGTCTTTGCTCAAATATCATCTTCTCAGTGTGGCCCACTCTGAACCCAGATGGAATATCACAAACCACTCCCCTGCCTGGCTGGCCTCACCTCCTATCCCTGAGACTGCTCATCTTCCCCCGTAGCACTTACCTCTTTCTAACATGCCCCGCCCCATTGGACCATCAGTGCCACAAGCAGGATGTTTGTTCCCAGATGCATCCATGTAGAGTAGGAGCTCCATAAATGTTGACTGGATGAGCAGCTGCTGGTTGCTGAGACATCTCAGACCTTTTAGGAGGATAATGCTTCACAGAAACCTTCATAGATACTATTGCAGCTTTTGTTGTGTTGCTTTGGGATATGCGTGCAGCTCAAGTTCACGTGCACAAACTGGACCTCCCCATCCTTTCCCTCCAAGCAGCTTCTCATGAGTCCACAACCAGGTACAGGGCACCACTGTCTACAGTCACCTGAGCCAGAAACCTGAGAGTCTTCCAGCTACTTATCTCCCACATCCACTCTGAAGGTTGCCAAGTCTTAATGGGCTCTTAACATCTTTCACACCTTCCTTTCCTCTCCTTCCTGATCTCCCTGCCTCCAATCTACCCTTTATACTGCTGCAAAAGTCATTTTTGTAATATACAAATTTGATGTGCACACTGCCGTTTTAAAACTTCACGCAGTTCCCCAATAAGCTCTTACAAGATGCTATCCCAACTCCAATGTCTGGCCTTGCCTCCTGGAGGCCCTTCCAAGGCTCTGGCCACACCAAGTGACTTAGAGTCCTGGTTTATAGAGGGCTGCTGTATATACTTTGAGATCGTGGTTCGCTCTGCCTGGAATGCTGTTCCCTGCCCCTGGGGCCAACTCACCACTGGCTTTCCAAGCTGGGCTTCAATCCTGGCACTCTGGGGGCACCTAGCGCTCTTGTGTGTGCCACCTCTAACCCTCTCACCCCACACACCACACTCTACTGCAGTTTCAAGTTTACTGTCTGGCCTCCTACCCAGCTGCTCCTTCTTTATGCCCTGTCATCATCATCTTTGTCCCCCCAAGGCTTACACGCAGAACTTGGGATAGCAGGTCCACACTGGGCCTGCTGTATGAATGATGGGGCATGAACTGCTTTGTGTCCAAGAGCAGCAATCATCAAAGCAATGTTGGGAAATTCCAAAGCCACATCATAGCATTCACTAATTTGGAGTTACTAACTACCACCGGGGGGGAAATAGTCAATTATTGGAAGAGAAGGAAAACCAGAGGCTATGGATTTTGTGGGGTCTGATTAGCAAAGGCAGGTATGTGAGGAAAATTAGCCCTGAAATTGAAGGGAAATCTGCCATCTTCCATTGGGTCTGATAAGAAAGGATATCACTGGACTAGCTGATGTTGCCCTCTAGTAGTTTGCAAGGCAGGGAGAATAATAGGAGTCTCTACCTGGGTGGCCTTGGCTGACCAGGTGTTAGGAGGCCTGATCTGAGCCCACTTCTACTCATGTTTGAGGCACGGGATTACACCCCAGGATTCCCTGGATAGGGGTTCTCACTTTATAGCTCTGTTTCTCACAACTGCCCCTAGGAGCCACATCCTTCCCTGCCCCCAACATGCCAGGACCTCTGCTTTCCCTGAAGCTCTTGGCCACTCTCCACCAGTCCCCATTGTTAACCTGGCTGTCCCCCTAATGCCATCCAATCCTGTACCTGGCCCACCCCTCAGTTCCTCACCACAGGATTGTGGGAATGATGACCAATACAGGTGATACAAGAGAGATGGGAATGAGCTTTAAAGAGCTCTACTTGTGATAAAGAAATATGATGGTGTCTTATTAAAAATTAAAAATAAGGCGGGGCCTGAGAGTAGCTGTAGTTGTCCCAGAGCTGGAGCAAAATGCAGGTCACATAAAAGGGATGGAAAACAGTAACTGCTACAGAAGCCCCTCGAGGTGCAGAGATGCAACAAACAGAAGGGATCCTAAGTTTTCTAATTCTTGTTAAAGTTTTATTTACTAACCAATTAAGCATTTGGTATGGACGTGGTTCAGTGAGGGGTCCTGACAGTGGTCTTCGAGAACACTCAACACCCACATTCAGATACAAGCTCAGTCCCGCACCAGCCTTGGTCAAGCCACGCCTTTTTTCTGAGCCTCAGACCCTGGGTGTAACCCGGGGGTAATAAGTACCTCGCAGGGCTGCTGTGAAGATCAGAGAAATTGAGGACACACAGCAGGTGCCCAATATTTAGGGTTTCTCAAAACGGGAGAGTTATTTGCATTCAGTGTCCACGACCCCTTTAAATTACCTAACTCGTCAAAAAAGAAAACGGCGAATGTGCACAGGAGCGGAGCACCAACCAGGCCGCGGCTGGGAGGCACGCCCCGGCTTCTCCTGCAGGAGTTCGCCCTTTGCGCTGACTGGAGGCTCGGCCCTCAGCCGAGCTGCGGGGATAAGCAGAGGGCGAGGCCTGGGGACTCACCTCGCCCTGACACCGCCCAGGTCGCTCGCCTCCCCGTGGGTGGGTGGGCCCGGGCCTTGGGACCCCAACAGGCCGGGGTCTCCGACCTCCGAGAAGCAAAGACCAGTCCCGGCTCTGCGGGTCTGCGGGGGGTGGGCGCGGGCCATAAAGGTCACGACCCTATGGGTCTTCTCCCGGCCGTTGTGGGGGTGGGGCATCCTCGCGCTGGGAGCTCTGAAGTCCAAGAGGCGTAAGCGGTCACTGCCCGACAGCAGCAGGCGGGGCGGCCGCGGAAGGGCGCGGCCCCTTTAAGACGCTCCGCGACCCCGTCCCGCGCCCCGCCCTTCGCGGCGAGCCACCCACGTGACCCGGGTCTTGTGACTGGCCGCGGAAGAGGGCGGGGGTAAGCTCGCGGAGCG